GTGCGTTCACCTGTCCAGCCTTTTGGATGTCTGCATCTATCCGGACTCCCACTCCAGCATGAAGCTCGGAGTCGCGCCAGATTCCAGCGAGATCACGGTCTGAGCTGAGATTCCAGGTGTGATCCAGCCATCGATCACTGTACAGATGTGCGGCTGGGCATGGCGAGTTTTAAGTGCTGTTTGAGTACATTGCTCGTAGTTTGCCCAGCTGTAGTTGTCGCGACACTAGATGTGTATCGAGAACGGTAACTCGTCCGTAGAGTCCGCGGTTCAGAAAGCAAAGTGCCAGCATCGCAGGCATTGCATCGTGCAGAGAGCAGCATGTCACCGAGTGAGATGGTCTTTTCTTCGTAGAGCACCTGCGACGAACGTTCAGGTCTGCAGCTTACCGCAGCTTCCGGCATGCGCTGGTACCCGGCGAGAGCGCGTAGCTGAGCTTCGCAATTTCGCAGACTCTTCGTGACCTCATGTCTGCAAGCCTACCTCCCCTGCACCGAGCTGCATCTAGGTGCGAACAGCACTGCGCTCATACGCTGAGTGAGCCGGATTTCATCTGTTGAGTGTGCGTCTAGCTAGCATGCGCGTCCAGAGTCAAGAACTTCCGGGAAAACATCTAAAGCTTACCACTACCACTGCCCTCCAAATCTGCCGTGTGGATTTCGCATCGTTTCACCCTCTCCACGGAGGGGTCGCAAGCTTTTGCACCCACGTGTCTCACCTGAGTGATGTCTGAAGGCATTCTGCCCGACGAGCTCTGGCCCACAGCCCGAATCGGACCACTCCATGTTGACTTTTTGTACTTAGGTTCCGATGGGCTGAAGAATTATCTGCGAAGAGGAAGCGACAACCTGGGAGTACACAGCTCACCGCGGATCTTTAAGCTTGGAGGTCGGCACGGCTTTCGATGAAGATTTCAAGCTTTAAGGCGTGCACGGTAACGAGTATAACCCAGTCCTCACATCCGGAGTGGAGCCTGAGACCAGTCGCACCCGGGTAGATGCCGGCTGCCAGAAAATCGTACTGACAGTTGCGAAGATTGAAAATGCGACCGTGCCCGGGAATGCAAGACCCTGACGTTGCAACCGTTCCGCGAACTTTAAGCCTTTACGCAAATAACACCTCGATGACGAGCTTGTGGCGCGTTGCAAGTGCCTTGCAGAATTGATCCGGATTGTATTCGGGTGTAGAAAGCGGCAGCTTTAGAGTCATCGGTAAGCTAGCGGTGCTTGTGTTGCACTTTCTGCGCAAGCCCTCGAAGGCTCTCCATGCAACAGACCTGAGCAACGCCGGGCGGGTGCAGAGCCATGCCAAGCTGACGCAGCCAAAGGACTTGCACATGCCATGCGTATGATCTACGTCCGAGATCTGCTGACCATTCCGAGCTCCCATGACTTCAGATTCAGAGTGCACCAGGCTGCTTTAAAAAACCTACGGGCTCCGTCTGTGCCGCTTTGGAGGAGTTCAGGCTGTCCTGCCCGCCGACTCCCAGGTCTCCCGGCTCGCCGCTGCCGTGCTCCCAGCTCGAGAACTTGCGGTGTGCTCTCTCTTCCCCCTTTCAAAACTTTTATTTCGTAGGCCACATGAGAGATCAAAGGGAGATGAGATCTGGCTTTGCTAGGGTCCTCAGGCCGAGCTGTGCGGAGCTGGATGCGAGCGAAGTGGACTCCATCCAGGCCTGCTGCCTCGCTTCGCGGCGCAAGTTTCTTTGGGTTGAAGAGCGGTGGAGGACTTGTAGCAGCGTTTCGCATGAGATTGCTGAGCCTCGTATACACGTGCGTTGTTGCAGCCATTGCATGCCCAAGAAATCAAGAATCAAATAGACACCTGACCTCCTACAAGGACCAGGTTGAGAGCAACCGATTGTTGGCACTGCTCGTCCATGTTCTGGCTGGGAGAATCCTTTGCTTTGGCTTCGCAGGACTCAGGGCGACAATGCTCGCCAAGGCACCTTCCAAGCGGGCAGTAGCTATTGGCGTCTTTTTGCAGCGACGAAATCTTTAACTCAGATAAAAAAAGGGCACTTTTGGTATTGATGCTCAGGGGGGTCCCAATGCCGACTTTGCCTCTGTGCTCGACAGCGCTGTGGTGCACTCAGAGGCTACGAAGGCGCGATTCAACGAGGGGTTTTGCCTAGCTCTTCTACAGGTTCCTTGCGATTCCTCACATACCTCAGATCGAAGTCTTGCAACGCCCCACTCCCCCTCTGACATCTTTCCGTGCATGCAGCACAGGATGAAGACGGCAAGAACGCGACTCCAGATCCGTGCATGAAAGATGTAGCCGCTTGGATGGCAGTTCGGGCGCAGGCTCAGGCAGGGCTGCAAGCTCATAAAGCAACATAGAGCGAAGTTTGAGCGCTGTCAACACCGTGGAAACAGGTTTTTAGACGGACATATAAGACGAAGCTCGAATTGCAGCTTGGTGCCAATCCACAGAGCACGAAATCCGGTTCAGCCACATGCAGATTTAAGTCTTGCTTTTTGGCACGGGGGGTTTCACACTTCAAGCCCCAAAGTCGGAAGTCTCGAGCGTACAGACTCGCCAACGCTTGTGACGACCAGGACGGCGTGAAGCCAGAGATAGTTGGGGCAGAGGCGGCCTGTTTTTGGGCTTCCTGAATTCTTGGTAACTGGCAGTGAGCCGTGTTTCTTTGCGGTGGCCGCAGGCATTGGGCTTTGGGGTGTTTTCTGCTTCCACTCAGACTTTGCGTTTATCACACTAGCTGCTAATTCCTTTCCGCGAGCCTGTTGTCGATCCCACGTGTCGAGACACCAGGCTATCGAAACAAACCCTTGGGCTGGTTTCCGAACATGCAGGATTGACTTCCCGTGTAGCATAACCAGCTGCCCTGTGCCTTTCTTGCTGCGCGTTGCAGGTACCCAACAACGGTGCCCTTGCGAGTGGGGAGCAGGTTCACTCGTACGGACTGGCTCATTGCAGCTGAAGTGCCACGTCTGTGAAAGCAGGTGGACATCTATGAGTTCTGCAACATCGGCTTCCTGCTCCAGCACCGCGGACTGGAATCCTGGAAGTCGACAGGGGGAGAGACGACAGATTCGTCATGTCATTGCTATCACCCCAGGTATTTTGCTGTTGGTATCATCTACGGTGGCTTGCCCGCCACCATCTATGGCTTCTTCCTGGGAAGCTTGGCTGCTTCTGACATCCTTGTAGCTTGAGCCAGGAGGAGGGCCACAAAGCTCTAAGCCCTTAGGCTTTCTCAATGTTCCGGGCTATGTCTATGCCACTGCGGCGGCTGGGGCCCCGGAGTGAGGGGAGCCTCGGAGAGCCTCGGAGTTCCCTTGGCCAGGTTGTCACCACCATGCCATGGAGCTTCAAGCTTTTCTTCGGTCCCCGGCTTACGAGGCTTCCCTGCATGCGGCTTGCTGAGAAGTCTGCTGACGGGCTATTCACCAACCATGCCGGATTCGCGGACCGAGGCTTCTTAAACGACTGCTTCCCGCGCCATGGCGTCAAGTGCCTGTCGAAGCGAGGGTTTGTCGCAGTCAATGGCTCAGGATCTTGGGGTACCGAAGGAAGCCGTACATGGTCATTGGCTCCTTGCCCAAAGCTGTGACGGCAGGGTTGGGTCGTGCACTTCCAGTCATTTGAACGACCTCTTGGAGAGCTCTTGGTGTTAGTTTAAGACCGTTTAAGATGTGGTAACCGCTCGGTCATGGGTTTCGGTCGAAGTTGCGGACTGTAAACGATGGGGTTTGTCTCCATCTCAGCATCGCTCTTCCGAGGTTGGACCGTTTGCTTCATGACACTGCTGGCAAGAGTCTGAGTCGGAAAGACACGCCGCAAGCATTGTGTCAACATTCACCACGGGCGTGCAGTTGTGAAGGCAGCTCGGCTTCCCAGCAAAGGAAAACCCGTTCAGAGGATTCTGGAACCCCGGCCCAGGTCCTTGGCACAAGGCCACTTCCCGAGCCGTACTTCTGCGTGGCACCAGATGGCAATTTCGACAAGGACTGGCGCAGGGGACTCTCGGTCGAGGTGAACAAGCATTCCGTCATGATACTTCTGACTTATGAGCATGAACGATTTTACAAGTTTACATGTGATGATGATGAAGAAGACGATGATGATGACTTACTAGGCTTCATAGGGACTTTCAAAAGCAAGAGTCACATCAGGCTGGCTGGGTGATCCCTCGAGCCCAGCTAACAGTAGTAGAGGTGGCGATATTCGTAGTCGTAGTCGCAGAAGAAGACGAAGTAGTAGTCGTAGTCGTAGGTCGTGGTCGTTATCGCCGCCGTAGTCGTAGTCGTAGATAGTCGTCGTCGTCGTGGCAGTAGCA